ATCTGTCATCTATGTTATATTACGAATAAAATATTGACATTTGCCATCTCCACATCATTGCATTCAGTTTTTATTCACAATTTGTTTAGTGTCCCAACTTTTTTGGAATCTGGATTGTACTTAAGACCAATAAAAAAGTAATTTTTAGGAATGTTGGCCAACTGAATAGTATGAACATGAAAAGTATGAGCATGTACAACACTCAGTACTTGGTTGGGCTTCTTTTGCCTGGATTACTGCAGCAATGTGGTGTGGCATGGAGTCGATCACTGCTCAGGTGTTGAGAGCCCAGGTTGTTCTGATAGTGGCCTTCAGCTCTTCTGAATTATTGGGTCTGGTGTATCACATCTTCCTCTTCACAATACTCCATAGATTTTCTATGGGGTTAAGGTCAGGTGAGTTTGCTGGCCAATTAAGAACAGGGATACCATGGTCCTTAATTAAACCAGGTACTGGTAGGTTTGGCACTGTGTGCAGGTGCCAAGTCCTGTTGGAAAATGAAATCTGCATCTCCATAAAGTTGGTCAGCAGCAGGAAGCATGAAGTCTCTAAAACTTCCTGGTAGACGGCTGCGTTGACCTTGGACCTCAGAAAACACAGTGAACCAACACCAGCAGATGACATGCACCCCAAACCATCACTGACTGGAAACTTGACACTGGACCTCAAGCAACATGGATTCTGTGCCTCTCCTCTCTTCCTCCAGACTCTGGGACCTTGATTTCCAAAGGAAATGCAAAATTTACTTTCATCAAAGAACATAACTTTGGACCACTCAGCAGCAGTCTGGGGTGAGACACTTCTGTCTCTTGTTCAAGAGTGGCTTGACACACACAAAAAAAAAAAACAACCCAAAATAGTCCCTAGAAAAAATATTTCAAAAAAGGGGTGGGGAGGATGACTGTAAGGGGAGAAGGGAGGCGACAAAAAAAAAAAAAAAAATAAATAAATAAAAATAAATAAATAAATAAATAAGTGGCTTGACACAAAGCATGTGACAGCTGAAACCCATGTCTTGCATACGTCTGTGCGTGGTGGTTCTTGAAGTACTGACTCCAGCTGCAGTTCACTCTTTATAAATCTCTCCCACATTTTGGAATGGGTTTTGTTTCACAATCCTCTCCAGGATGTGGTGATTCCTATTCCTTGTACACTTTTTTCTACCACATCGTTTCTTTCCCTGCACCTCTCTATTAATGTGCTTGGACACAGAGCTCTGTGAACAGCCAGCCTCTTTAGCAATGACCTTTTGTGTCTTGTCCTCCTTGTGCAAGGTGTCAGTGGTCGTCTTTTGGACAACAGTCAAGTCATCAGTCTTCCCCATGTTTGTGTAGCTACAGAACTAGACTGAGACCATTTAAAGGCCTTTGCAGGTGTTTTTAGTTAATTAGCTGACTAGAGTGTGGCACCAGGTTTCTTCAATATTGAACCTTTTCACAATATTCTAATTTTCTGAGATACTGAATTTGGGGTTTTCATTAGTTGTCAGTTATAATCATCAACATTAAAATAAACATTTGAAATATATCAGTGTGTGTGTTATGAATGAATATAATCTACAAGTTTCACTTTTTGAATGGAATTACTGAAATAAATCAACTTTTTCATGATATTCTAATTTTATGACCAGTACCTGTCGTGTACCAACATGTTTCTGAGCAAAGATCAGACTTTAAATCAGTTTTAATGTGTTTAGATGATGCCGATTATTTACAAAACCACAAAATGGGTCCAAATTATTGGTTGATCTGAACTGATCTCCCTCTAGTGTCCATTCTTATCCTAATCCTCGGCGTTGTGATTAAACATCTGGCTGTTTGTGAATAAACTTTAATGAGATCTGGTGTTTGAGTAACTTTTGCTGCTGTCTCACTGTTTCAGTGACAACCCCATAGTGGGTAAAACCTCCTAACCTGGGGGGGGCCGGTGTGGCCTGAAGCAGCCATACCAGCAGGTGTCGGCGCACCACACAGAGCCTCCTCGGTCTTCAAGGAGCCCTTGAATGTGTCTCAGCAAGACCGGGCCACGACAGGACCCGGAGAATGACCAACACCGTGACCTCCACACATCCACTTCACTATGAATTAACTTTTGGTTGTTGTTTTGTTTTGGCTGTTTGTTGCCTCATGTCCTCCCACTCCTGCCCTGCAGACTCTCTCTGCGTCTTGAATTACGTCTTTTTATTTTAATCTCCAGCTGTGTGACAGAAGCATCATTAGATGGTGTGTGAATAGGCTGCTATTATTTTTATTTTGAAATCACTCGGTGTCACAGCTGTGATGAACCCTACCTTGTCTTTGAGCATTTTTCTGTCTCCAGAGTTCATTATTAATCATCTACTCTGGAAGATCGTCCTCTGTCCGTGCCCCTTAAATTCGTTTTATTGTCTTTCTGAACAAATGTGATCGTGTGTGTGTGTGTGTGTGTGTAAATACCAATCTGCCTTATTGACGAATGTTTCTTTCACATTTAATGCTGAGGAAAAAAAAACAAAACCGCAGACGCACTTTAAACATTTGGAACTGTCCGAATGGAAATGATTAGATACTTAGTATCAGCTTTCCTCATTTTGATCAGTTACATGATCTCATTTGTTTCATTCCTGTAAAATAACATGTAAATATGAAAATATTTTTCTCGACCAAAGGCAATTTCTTGGACTTTAATGTGTTAATGTATTTTGTATACAAACAGATTATATATATATATATATATATATATATATA